CACCATGATCTGGACTCCCCTGACCCTTTTGATTTCAATGTTCCCACTCCCTTGTGAACACGTCGCCGCTGTGTCTTGGAAAATGGATGCCAGCAGAGGTTAGGTGACCTTGTAGATCTTGTAGGACACTACGGTACTATAGGGTAGCTATGGAATAGTCTATACTATATAAGCGTTGGAATAGTCAACCTCGTTCGTCAACCTCCGTTGAGTTCTTCCGTGGTCTTCATCTCAGGTTCCCCACTCGCCACTCCATCGCACGCACTTTTCTGCCACTCCACTCGCGCCCAACACCGCGCTTTTCGTGCCGTGTTGAAGCCTGTGGGAAGGGCCGACCGCGGGTCACCGCCACTGACAGGATGGACGTCTTCAACTCATCCTGCGGCTCCACAACCGACTCCTGAGAAGTGGACGGATGGCTCCCGAGCCTTCCGCGTCCCAAGGAAAATAGAGGTTATATTAACCTTTTTCTGGGTGTGAATTACAATACACCCAATCCCCCAAAAAGGTGATATAATGTTATATTATAAATGTTATCCACTGACTGGGTAGGATGATGACCTCATGAGTTGCCCCACCCTGGCGGGGCCCTTAAGATCCACCCCTCAGGAGCCCCGACCCAAAGGAACAGAGTCAGAGGGGGGGACGAGATGGGACGGGGGACCTGACAGTTCCCAAGCAGGGGGGACGAGAGGCAGAGAGGCAGAGAGGTCATGTTCAAAAGGAACGGAGTCAGAGGTCACCTCACCCCGAGAATAGCCAGGGGGCGAGTCTGAACTGCACGGATGGATGCACTTTTTGACTATATATTTTGTCTTTATCTTGTTGAAAACAGGGAGCTCACCATTTTGGTAAAGTGCTTGAGAAAAAGATGGACGAGTCCATGGAATGAACATATTTCTGAATGCAACCATTCAAGTCTCACATGTCAAGACTGCGATATCGATTCCCTACACACCAAACCTGCCCAATGCACGATGTACCACCATCCACCACCTTTTCTCGGCCACGTGGACGGGTCCTCCGGCAGCTGAAGCCGAAAGCGCGGCTTCAACAAGAGCGGTTCCTCCTTGAACGATGCCAAAAAGCCGCCCCCCCACACCGGAGAAGTTGGCAATGATATCATTTTTTGGAAACAAGAAGGGTGGTCATTGACCAAAGTGGTTCTATTTTCACTTGGGGGCGGGATGTCCCCTCTATTTATCATATTAATTGATAAATGTTGATCAACCAGTCAGCCAACCACTATTGTTAAAGGGCCATCTATGGAGGGCCGTGGGTTGCGCATACCTGCAAAGACAATCTGTGCTTTATCGCTGGCGGATGGCATTCTATTATGATTCATGGCCTCCTCCGTTCTCCCTGTGAACCTAACACTTAGCTTTTGGCATGGGATGGCGCGGGTAACGACCAAGATATCTCCGTGTGACCTGAGGAAAGGAAGCATGAAATGAAAATCATGCCGGGACCTACAAAGGTTGATGTCCGGATTCGACCTGAAAGGACCTGAGGTGCTTTGAGACCCCTGCACTTTCATAGTGAGGTGCCTGGTTTTGTCCTGGGGTCTGGAATTTTGTGAAAGCTAGTGCGTAGCCTGTTTGTACAGGGTGTGGATCACCTAGTGCCTGTTTCTTAGGTAGATTGTCGTTCTTGATGACTTGGGATTGGAGCTGACTGTGGTTTGTGGTCTTTTGTTGGTGATTCGCTTTGACCTACTTGGCAGGATAACCCTTTAGAAGGTTTGGTGTGGCTAGACGTGGCTAGGAGAAGCCTAGAGAACCTTTTGGTAGCACTGCGTGTACATGGAGACTGTTTGAGATAGTTCTCTTTAGTTTGGTGTAGGTTTGAGATGACTGTGAACAGCCTTGACTCTTTTAAGAAGAGCTGACAAGCTTTGGAGAAGCTTTGAGAACCTTTGAGAGAGTCTGAACCGACTGTGACTTTGGCTCAAGTGAGCGGCATCAAAAGGGAAGCTTGCGCGTCCGTGTTTTCACACGGTAGCGGAGCCCCGAGGATCCTAAGGGTGAGGGGCGGACGCTGTGAGAGAAAGGACAACTGTTTGTAGGGTTTTCCTGTGCCATAGTTTTGAGCCATGGAGAATGTGACTCCCACGAGTCCAGCTGTGACACTTGGACCGGACCACCGTCATTAGAAACAGTCTCTATGAAAGTCCAGCTTCATTGATGGTGCGTTCATGCGCTCATCTGCTGACAGCCAGACATGTCCAAGCTTTCAAAAGGATTATATACTTAGAAACAGTCTCCATTCTCCCGCAAGTCGTGTGAGATCTATACCTTCCCTTCCTCCAGCAGTTCTTCCAGCACAAAGCCGAAATCACTCAGATCATCAACCAGCACCGAAACCAGGTCTCCGATGGCTGGAGGCGACCTTGACTTGTTCAAGTCGCGACCTGTGGGACCTGTTGGAAGGTCCTGAAATAGATCTCCCGTCCCTCACCTCATCTCCAACCCTCCAACCCTTCATCCCGCCTCCCGCTCCACCCAGCGCCGCTTGCGCAGCTGCCGCTCCAGTCCCGCGCCCGGACGCAGCGTGCCGGCGCCGGTTCCGGCGTGCGCGAAGGGCGTCTGCGGGTCGGGACGGGGGGTCCCTGAAGGTGGCTGACCCGAAAGACTAGGCGTCCAACAGCCATTTAACAGGCGGGTCATCCCGAATCAACGACATGCCAGGATTTTACACCAAAACCTGGTCGTTCCCATTTTCTTCATGGTCGAACGGAAGTCTAGGGTTAGGATCAGGAAGCACGAGGCAAAGAAGGTAAGACATGTCGGGAATGCCACCACAGTCTAAGTGTGCCACAATCTTGGACCTGCATGGCATCATTGGCTGGTCCTGCGCTAAGAAGTTCAACATTGATGGTAGCCTAATTTAATCCAACACTTCAGGGTCCATAAGAATTGGTTGGATCAAATCGGCTGCCGTTCATGATGTATTAATGGTCCATAACACCATAAGAATTGATGGCATTCATGCTTAACCTTTATCTCTCACGGTCCGAATGGTCCACCAGGTCCGGCGCCTGCGTCTCTTCCAGCGACTGCTGCGCCTGCGTCTCCTCCGCCCGCAGCTGCGCGCGGAGCTGCTGGAGCCGGTCTTCCTGAAAAGGAGACGTGTGGGCCGTGAGCGGCGTGATTGAACGATGTTTAAAACGATCTGATATAGGGTCATCTGCAAAGGAAGTTCCTTTGCTTGGGTGGTGCCAAAAATAGTCTTTGGACCTCTAGGGATACAGCCGATGCAAAAACATGTTACAACTTTAAACCTAAGATGGGGGGCTTGATCAATCAATAGTCCAGATGAATTCGGCTCCACGCGGCACTGCCAGGACCTGGATGACCTTACACCCATCACTTCCAGGCTGCCCACCAAGTGGCGCTGGATGGCTCAGCTAAACTGGCCAAGAGCCTCGACGCCGCGAAGGCGGGCCGCGAAGGCGATCCCGAGAGGTCGAGGGTTTCGGGCCGACCTCTCTGCGGTTGCGATGTTCTTAGTCTTTGTCAACTGTTTACGGGCAAGTTCGGACAGACCCCAAAACCAGACATCTTGCAAAGATGCCTTCCTGATGCTTCTCCAACGTTTGGGGGGCCTTTTCTTCAAAAGGTGTTCTCCTTAAAGTTTCTCCAAGAGCTAGGCATCTACAGACTCCTCAAAGGCAGCCACCGGTGTTTTACACTGGACGGCGACAGCTGGGCGTTTTTAACAAAACGTTTTTAAAAACAATTGCATTGAAAAAAGCACGAAACGTCCATCAGTTCCGGGGCTTCTCTATGCTTCTTGAACCATTGAAACCGCTTCTTCCACCGCACCGACCGCACCCGCGCGCACCGCGCGGACCGCGCGGCCGACCGCCCAATCGGGCCTGCGGACCGCGCTGCGCTGCTGCCGCGCGTCCAGCGCCGCCTTCCGCAGCCGCGCCACGGAACTCCGCGGCGCAGAACTCGCCATGCATTGAGTGATGCGGAGGTGAAGATCGGCCAAGAGCTGGGCAAGTGAAAAGAAGTACTTTCCGTTCGAGTCTTCACTAGTGGAGTCCACTAGTTAAGTCTTCTAGACCTGAACTGAGCCTGGCCCGCCTGGTTGGTCGGGACTGCATTGCTTTCGTCAATTTCTGAGGAGTTCGTAATTAGATAGATAGAAACGGTTTCCAAAACATGTTTTAGTCGGGATCTACTTTTCTATCTCTTTGGAGGTCTATAAAACAAAAGGATTAAGGCCAAGTCTCCACCGACCACCGATAGAAAGGGCGCTCTCGTGATCCATGCTGGACGTGCTTCCTTCTGTTGCGTCCTTCGAACTACTCCTTTCGATCTTCCAACTGCCTGGGTCCCATGCCATGGACGAACCCTTTGGTCGTTTGAGCCCCCTCTCGTGGCCGGTTCAGATGTGAATCTGGACCGCGTGTGGTCGGAAGGCCCGTCGGAGGATGCAGCAGGGGTCAAAGGATTTCACATGGGCATTTCGGAGGGGGAAGGTTCGGGATTCGGATTGCAACTCCCGTTTTGCACATCAGACTAGTCTATAATAGTCATCTATATTCGATCTATAAAATCACAAGTCATTCATAGGTCATTTGGGGAGGGGGGGTGAGGGGGAAGGTGGTGGGTTAGTTAGTTCTGATTGCAATTCCCTCTTGGATATGCTAGATGATCCTAGAAAATCCTATAAGCCTGGAATCTTCCAACGGAGCATGCGAATCAGCCCTGAAGTAAAGTACTGCTCACAGAAGAGAACAATGAATGAAGTCGGATTTGCTAGCATTTGGTTCCTTCCAAGGTGTTCAATCCCTACAAGTCAAAGACCTCATTTTACTGGAGATGCTCATACAAAATCCATAATTCAGGAGGTAAAGGACCAGGTTTTACTGGGTCTTTGGACTTATGACCTATAGGGCATGAAATACCATGAAAAACCTCTTTCTGTATGACCTCACCCCTCACACGTGATGCAATGGAGCAAGCCCAAGCGACCGACACCTCTCTGTCCTGTGCTCTGCTGCCAACCTGACCCGCTCCTCAGATGCGGATGCTCAAAACCGTTGAAAGAGGGAGGAGTTCTCCCGCCAAATAAATAGGGAGAGGTTCTCTGAAAATACGGAGGTGTCTCTCTTTCTTTTTGAACCTCAATTCGCTTCATGGATCTTGATGGATCTTCATGGTTCTGTCGAGCAGTGCAGGGTCCCAGGGTCAAAGGATGTCAAATGATGCAAGGCCGCAAGACTTATAGCGGATGAACCTGGCACATGGTGGCACAATCCCCTAAATCAGGCTTATGTGGACCCCCCATCTATATTAAAAGACGACTGTGCCATCTACTTCTTGGAACCACTTCTTAGTTAGACCCTGCACGTTATTCTGTGGAGCGGCTGTGGCCATCGAACTAACTTGTCCCTCCGTCTCTCCGCTTCATTTCGCGCTTCGATGAAGACGATCCCATGGACCCTTCGATGAACCACTGGAGGTTCAGTCGGGCGGCACCTGGTGCCGAAAAAAACCACTGGGGTCCCTGTGAGGTGTCAGGAGGTTTCGCATTTCTGGAAGGTTTTCCAACCCTTCCAACCCTTCTGGTGTCGGGAGGGGTACCCTTCCAACCCGAGTCGACCGAGTCGACGTACCGAGGGGCGCGGTAGAAGTCCAAGGTCTGCTGGAAGCATCGTGCTGACGTTCGAGGACGCAGGTGTTGCAGGTCCTACCCGGCAACAGCCAAATCGCTGGAGAGAAGTGAGGTGGTTTTGATTGTTTCTGGTGTCTCATTTTTACAAGTCCCACATGAACAGTCCAACCTGTATACAAGGAATTCCTCAAATGCTGGCGGTCCCGCGCTCCCCGCGCATGATGCCCTATGACAGTCCTGTACACTTGGGGCATCCTTCGATTCATGGACCAACCAGTGTTTAAGAAGAAGCCTTTCAATTCCCAAGCATCCCTTTAGAACTCCTCCGTCTTCCCTAACGTCCCACACTTCGACTCACTAACATGGAAGTGGAAAACCTCCTGCTTGTAGAGGACACTCGTCTTCGAGGGTCCCATTTTCCATGTGACGTGTTCGTCAGAGTGTCAGAGGTGTAGGTGGTGGTTCATCTCTTCGCAGAATTGCTTGGAGAGAGAAAATCTACATCGGAAAGATGGTGAACATCTACCCCTATGGCCCTATACACCGACCCGTCGTACCTCCTCAGGTTCGGTGTCTTAGACCCGAACATGGCACCCACCCCAGTCCCACCTTCTCAGGTTCGGTACGACTGGAGGCATAGGGTATGGGTGTCCTGCAGATGTGTCCCTTCAAAACCCCTTCGCCCAAGCGGGCCTGTTCCAACTCCGCCTCCGAGCTTTCACCTGAGGGCTCGAGAGGCTCGGGGTGTCGAAACAAAAAAAGATCCGCCGTCGGCAGCCCATCCATACGGTCAAATGGAGTGACCCTCCAAGAAAAGGAGTATCGGAAAACATTTGGAAAGACCTGATTCTTTCTACTTGGAAACCTCTACATAATTCTACATATCTACACATCTCATAGGCTTTCACCACGGGATCTCAAAAGGGCTCACACGCCGCAGACTGAGCCCACCCACCCCCCATGCTGTCCAGCGCCCCTTCTCCGCCTCTGGGCGCCCCGACGTCCGGTGTTCACCGCCTTCTGCAAGGCTCGACCGAAGCCTCAAGACAGGGCAGCAGACTTGGGAGGAAGGAGCTGGGAGGATTGTTTCATTCTCATTCGGTGCCTTGAGTGAGGACTCAAGGTGCCTTGAGTGATGGACTTGGAGGCGGAAGGGGATGTACTAGAGCCCTTGGCAGGCTTGGGGAAGGTACTGGAGAGGTCGTCGAATGGAGCATCAACTGCAGTTGCTGGGAACGAAGGAACGCCCTAACTTTTTAGTGTCTTCTACAAAGAAATTGGAATTCAAGAGAGGGCCCTATAAGCGTCTTCTGCAAACGCAGGGTCTGGTCTTTTCACACTTTCTTCAAACTCTATGGGTCAACCTTTGAAAATGTGGTTCGGATAGCAGCTTGCTTTGTGGGGTTTGGCCAAGAGTCTCTGCTCCTGAAAGCCAACCGCACGCGCTTTGGCCACAAGAATGGAAGACGTTTGCCAAAAAAATCCAGGTTCAACTGGGTCTGTTCTGCAGGCAAGGAACTTCTTCATTATAAGTAAACCACACAAAACTGCCAATCAGTGATGTCTTTTTGGGAGGACTACAGGGGTGTGCCCTCTATTCATCAACCATGCAGCCCAATAAAGGCCATCCATGCTGCCAATCACAAGAGCTCCTAGGCATGTCCTACACTTCCAGCAGTTGACCCGTTGTTTGTCGCAAAAAGCTGCCCCACTGCCATCTGTCTCAGCTTCCCTCCGGCTCCCCGGCGGGCCATCGATCAAGAGGTGGAGCAGCAGCGCAGGAAGGGCGACGCCATGGGAAGGAACGTCTTGGAAAGAGGGAGGGGCACCCTGGCCCCTGGGAGCCCCTGGGAGCCGTTCCGGCACGGGTCCGATTCTCATCCCTTCCAGGAACCTGGCGGGACTACGATGTGGAAGGATTTGAGACGACTGAGACGACCAAACTACAAACAGTCTTACTTTGTAAGGGGTCTTTTGAAGGCTAGGGTGTGAGTTCCTCATATCATCTCATACCTTCATGGCAAGTGAAAGAGAAACTCCCTTGGAGGGTGCTACTTGGCTGGCTCCCTCTGGAAGAGGGAATTGGTGACCCAACCCGCGCTCCATCCTCACCAGCTAGCTTGGATCCTGGTGACCAGTACGGTGTGCCTAGAAAGTTATTAATAGTAATTTCCTAAAAGTTGTTCTGATCTGATCTGGACCTCTTTTTCCGGAAGCTGGAGGCAGAACAAAAAGAGTGAACTTCCTGAACGATCTGGCGAGGTTCTTCGCAACGCCGCAAGGAGATTAGAGAGAAGCCCCCCAAAAAAGAGATCGCTTATGTTCAACATGACCTTGTGGAGGAAAGTGGTGCTCATTCGCTTGCATGTGTTTGCATGCTCTTTGCAGGTGTCGCTCAAAGAAACGCCTTCGGCCGGAAATACGGGTGGGCGCAACCTCTGCCGGCGGTGGCGCCCCAACCCCAAACACTGTGGAAGACTGTCTGCAAACCCTAGGTGCTACAGCAGAAAGTGGCTGAACAACATAAATGTAGACACCAGTGCAGACTCCCTAAGCTTCCAACAACCATTCATTTAATAGGCTTTACCGAATCAACTAAGGATGTTTCACTACCAAAACCAGGTCAACCATGTTTTTAATGGTCTTGGAAGTCTAGGGGACTGTTGCTACTCAAGAAACAAATGTAGAACTTTCTGGAAGATGGGTTTGGTTAATCAATGTTCATCATCAGTTCACATCAAATCGCCACCTGCACCTTCCTTCCCAGCCTTCACCCCGGGCTCTGCTTTGATGCGATTCTGTACCTGCGCCGCAGCCGTGCAAGCTGGATATCTCGCGCGCCATCGGCCCAACACATCGATGAGAGCTTCAGCTTGCCCACAGGTCGGGTGTTACGAAGCTGGCCCCCCTTTTTTTGGTCATTCTTTTGGACGTCCAGATTCGGGACGTAGAGATCCTGGAGCCCTTCGTCGATTTCAGGCCGGATCTCCAGTTCGCACATCACGTGCTATTTCGAAAGCACTCTGAGATGCCACGACGGCCAGCTTCAACTGCCACCCCTTGCAACACCAGGAGATAACATAAAATCAAAAAAAAGTCATCATACACGATGTATCAGATTCTTGGACGAATGTAGATGATGGCTGGAAGGTTTTCCATGGTGTTCACTCTGACTCTGGATACTCTGGTTCACTTTCTGGCTCTTGATTCCCTGTTTGGCCCTCAGGACCATCTCGGAGTGCCTTTGTTGCCACACATCCCGCTGATGACATATGTGAAGCGATCTCTTCGCTCAGGGTGTTGACACACCAAATGCCTAGTGCGCCTCGAACTGCGCCTACTTCGGTGAAACACGCGCTGTCACGATGGTCACGGAGCAGAACACTCCAAGCTCAGCAGGATGGGTAGCGTCTGAACTACATGGAGCCGCTTTGTGCTGCAATGATTTCACCGGCGATTCGCCCACCACGGGCGGACGAGACCTTTCTACAATATTGTGCTGGTGAAGAGTGCCAGAGCGGCCCCAGCCACACAGCCGCCCTCAGGTCAGAGCAGCTGCAGACGGTTTGTGCGTGGTCTTCCAGGTCATGCAAAGAAAATGGATATCATGTGGAAGATTGTGGAAGACAGGTCGTGTAGTAACCTACTCTTCAAGAGTGAAGTCATCTGAAGCGACTCTATAGGTGTGGCCTCAAGATAGACACAATGGCACAGTTCCCGGGTAGTTTACGTGGAACCCCATCTAAAAGTTTACGTGGGACCGTGGCATCCCATCTGAAGGACCTCTTGGGGTCTGTGCCACCTACCCAAACAACACGGTAGAGGAACTCTAATTGACCTCCTGAATTGACCTCCTACTCCTGTTAGATCGAATGGTTCCTATCAGTTCCGGCCATCTGGCCCATCTCTTCTCCAGCACAACGGACTTGGCGCACCCGACCGTTCGGAACGGTCGGGGCGGTTCCGGGAAAATGCCTGCGGTTAAAAGCAAGTGTCGGCCAACGGATCGTGGTCAAACGGACTTGGCGACTCACCTTGGATGAGTATGCCACTTACACTTAGGACATCTTAGGACATTCGTTTCATACCCCCGGAGCGTGCCACTGAAGCCCCCCACCAAAAAAAAGACTTGGAGGAGAGCTAGGACGTGGACATTCAAGGGGCTGCAGTCGCTGAAAAAACACCGCTGCTTGGGGCGCCTCAGGCACCATGAACAATGCCTGACGTGATGTTTCACCACACCTTAGGTTCATACGCCCCAGATCCAAGAAGGGACCCAGATGTGACCAGGCTTGAGTTCTTCATCCAAGTTCTCAGGGTCTTAAAAAGTGTGTCTTCTTCGCGCTGCTTGAGCGACATGATGAGCGACATGAGGACCTAAAGAGATGCCATTTCCATCATCCATTACAACTGCCAGGAGCACAAACCTTCTGCAACGTTGCCCACAGGACATTCAACTTTCCAGCAGATTCCCGTCCGAACCCTCTACCCAGCACCAACATGCACCGTTCCAAGGTCAGCCTGAGCTAGGAACGAGGATCCATGCCATGTCGTCTTGACCAAGCGCCGCCGCCTCTTCAATTGCAAAAAACACAATAAGGTCCGCCCTTCCTGGCCTTGATTCATGTTGATTCTGGAATACTTGTTGGAATAAAAGGTCCAAAAAAAACATGTTTCCAAGCTGAGAGACTCATAAAAGAAACCGTTTTCTTTCGAGGCTTCTTTCACACGCCCGTGGCTCCTTCCTCTTTGAAGACTGTGGCCTGTTTGGAGGGGGAAGGGGCTTTGGCCATCGGAAAGCCACGGACTCGGCGTGCCGACGAGCGGCACCACCCGTGCTTCGCGGCCCCCCGCGGCGCTTCTCGCGGACCCGAGTCAACTCACCGCGGGTCGGACCTGAGCGTGTTCAGCGGACCGCCGGACGGCATGGCACGGCGCTCCCGGTGGATCCGGCTGAAGAGCGACAGCACGTCGATGGTAGTCTAGGGAACTCCGAGGGCGAAGGTAGCAGGTGCCAATGTATTTTTTGACCGGCTGAAGAGGAAGCAGGTCCCATTCTTTTTGTAGCCCCAAACACGACACATGGGACTGCCATAGATGCCGAGAAACGGCCAGGGGTGGTGCCAGAGGGGTCTGGCTTGATCGGCAGTCCGTCATGGCAGTCCCATGTGTCGTGTTTGGGAATCTGAGTGTCTACGAAACTCAGCCCAGTTGTTGTAACCTGCAATGTCCGCCAATCATCATATGCCAACTCAGCACCTCGTTGCCTGAAAAAAACAAAAACTGAAGTGTGGGACGATCAACCAAAATAGCAGAGGATCGCATCTGACTCAATGACCAATATCTTACCACCAGAAAAGGACTCAACATCCAGGAGTCACAAGACGGGGTGCCGAACTTGGAGGAAGTCGGGGCGCCCCTGCCAACTCCAGTGCCAACTCTATGTGACTCCTGGATGGAGTTGCTGCAGAAAAAACAAAACGTCCAACCATTCCCTTCCCCCAAACCGGATGCCGCGTATCGCGTATCGCGTATCGCGGCCGCGTTTGTGTCGGGCTGCCGCGCCGTCAGAGCTCCCGGCCATCTTCATCCGAGGTCCTGGGCCCGACACCACGCGTCTGGGCTGGGCGATTTCTCTCTGATCCCCCCTGAAGAAAGGGGTCCTCAAAAACTGAAGCTACTAGTAACAAGTGCATTACTACTAGTAACAAGAAGCTACTATAGTAACAATGGCATCACTATTCGTACCTGGACCGTCCTGTCTGGGTGTCCTGGCTGGACACCTCTAAGTAGTGTAGTCCAGCCGGGACATCCATCGGATAGTGCTGGGAATTCTTAATTTTATTGCCAATTCTTTAGGTTCTTTTTACTTACACAGTATATCTACGGTGTGAATCACATCGTTCCAAGTTCAACCCGTTTGAGGCCTGAATTTCCTCAACCTGGGACATGTCTTAAAGAGGCTGGGTCAGCAGTGCCATCCGGGCTTTGAGTTCACTTTAGGGCGGCCTCCCAGACCACGAAGCCCCTGAAAAAGAAGGAACATGGACCAAAACCCTGTGGATTGAGGGTCTCCCTACATTTTTGACATCACACTCCACTTGACTCAGAATCAGAAGCACCCACCATTCTCGCTCCACTCCCGATGCTGCAGGGGCCTCACGAGGCGCGCTGCCGGGTTCCCAACTGCCCAGGTCCTTTTCCGCGCAAAACGAACGATATTTCTCAGCGGCCATCTGCTTGGCAGACGGGGCTGGCATACTTTCTCCAGTCGACTTTTACTTCCCAACATTTCCCAACATCAAACCCTCGCGGCTGACCCTTTGAAACACGCCCATGAAAAACTCACATCAATTCGGTGAATAGGAAATTGCGCAAAAATAAGCTCACAAAAGATCGTGCTCAAGCATCCCCTGTTTATGTCCTATCTACTGACGGTTCTCCCAAAAAGTGTATGACGACTTCTCTCAAGAACCAGATCGATCATCTTGGTTGGTGAAACACTCGTTGGGCACATGCCCGCCCGCGCGGTGCGGAGATTGGCCTTTCAAGCTCGAAGCCGTCGGCGCCCCAGCGCCCCAGCCGTCGGAACCATCGTGTTCGAGATCACCAACAAGGGAGACAGAATCTTAGCGCTGGGTTTGCCAAGCCATCAGCGTTACCTGGTCTTGTAGAAAACTAAAGGATGCATGATGTCCTGAAAAGGTGTTGGAAAGCACCCCGGGATAGACACAAAATGATGTAGCAAGAGGGCAATGAGCTGATGAGAAGAATTATATTATATATATATATATACATACCGAGTTATGTCAACTATAACTTATAACAATTTTGGTGGATGGGCATCTGAATTGGAGACCTATGTTTTCCGTCCATCAACAGTAGTAAACCATATTAAACCTGGGCTGATCAAGAATATCCCAGGTCGCGCGCTAGCGTGCCAGATGATTCCCTTGTTTCCATGTTCATGATTTAGAGCCTGTCCGTTCACAGTTCGCGTGGAAACATATCACCCCTGGAAATCATAGGAGCCCTGTGGTTTCCCTGAATTCTCGGGGCTTTGTTCCTGACATACTAGGGGGTCCCGTTCCTTACAGATCTCATCCTTTGTGAATGTGTCTTTTGATGAGGGCCTCACCCTGTCTAAGCATATCAGTTTCAGTAGCAAATGCCTCCAACCTAATAGCGATGGCCTCCAACCTAATAGCAATGGCCTCCACCCTAGTAGTGATGGCCTCCAACCTAATGGCCATTCAAGTATTTTCTTCAACCAAGCCGTCTTCACCAAATACCTGAGCTCGTGCCCCAAAGTTGAATTGGTCCACGGCTGCAGGACACCTGAATCGCCCGAAAACCCTTCTGTTCAACACCTGAAAGTCTGTCGTCTGCGAAGCTGATATGGAATTGAGGCGTGTGTGTGTGTGTGTCATACTCTGTACCTAAGAGTGTTCCACACAGCTGGGGATTTGAAGCAGGTCCAGGCAGTTGTGAGTCGTCCCTACCGTTTTTGCAAGTCAAGGGGCTAGGTATTCAGTAACTAAGTCGTTTCTGCTGTCAATAGACTGTTAAGGGTTATTGCAACAGCGAGCCAGTTACTGAAACTTATGCTCATTCATTTGAGCTATGTATCTAAGTGTGTCCTTGTCAAAGGGGTCCTGCAATGTTCACCTTGGGCACCTACCTAACAAGTTGTCATTCTCGACAAGAAGCTTTGCATTATCAGTCATTTCTGCCCTTTGATTCAATTATTGAATAAGCAATGTTTTATATTGACAATTATGGATGCGTTTCCAGGGTAATTCCAACTTTGCGGGGCGGATATTGCTTTCAGAGGAAAATGCGTCAAGGAGACTATCATGACACAAGGTGAGGCCTTCACAGAAGGAAAATAGCAATTCATTATGATTCAAAAATGCATGTCTTTGCAAGGACAATATGTTGTTTGGAGACCGAAGAGTGGGACCCCTACAATAGAGGAAAGGCTTTGAGACTAGCCAGCTGGGTTAGGATGTTTGTGTGTGTGTGTGAGTTGACTTAAACCATTTGCTCCAAGCACAGAAAATATTGACTCAATTAAAGCTTTCTGGAAGCAAGAAGTACTCGGAGACTTCTTCTTATTTCCAAAAAACAAAAGCGTAAAACTTGCTGGAAGTCTCCAAGTACAAAAGTCTAAAGTACGTATTTTTCTGCAAATCTCCAAGTACAGGAAGTCAGATGTTTTGGAAGAGCCCTGTGCAATCTTACTTTGTACATCTTACTTCGAGTATAATATTTTACAATATGTGGGACTGTCCGGAATTCTCTGTCTTTGACTGAAAACATGCATGAAACAAACAATCAAGAATTAACCAAAAACACTGTAAATAGCCACCAACCGTTGAAAGGGGTAGATCTTTTTGGGGAGGGGCACATTTTTTGTATATATACGTAATTACTGACCCCCGAAATTCACCACACCGATGATACCCCTAGAATGCCGACCAAATGTCAGCGTCTCTTCTTTATTGGGTGGGAGGGTGCCATTTGATTCATGTATATATATATATATAAACAGATTAAACATATATATATATGCATATGTGTGTATATCATTGTTACATCCAAATCTCTATATGTCTATATGTATAATTATATCTTGTTTTTTCCAGCATCTCTCTGTGTATGTGTCCGGTTTCCCGGCTGTGCCACCTACATCCCACCTCTCTCCACGCCTTCACTGCCTTTTTTGGTGGAACAAAGGCAAAGCTAAACCCTCCGGCCAGAGGCTTTGTGGAAGCTCATCACCTCTCAGCTAATGACCAGCTCCTTACAGCCACTGGAACCTCCCGGCGATGGTCCCCGAGAACGAACGCACCGGAGGAAGGAATGGGATGAAAGACTGCGACATGGGGTCCCATGACCTACATCTTCATAGTCGTCTCGACAGTGGCAGATGTGTGCTGCAACAAGGAGCGGGCTTTGTGAACGAAATGCCCCGGACATGCGCGGAACTTGAAAAACAGGCAGGTTGACGTCCCTCATCTTGCTGCTCGAGCCGCTTGGCCTGCTCATGGTAAGCCTATGATAATATATATTTATATATAGATATAGGGATATAGGGCAAAACCGACCTTTACAGCAGGCCCTCTTGGCGTGCGAAGCACAAGCTCATCCTTACAGGAGTCTCATTACTAGAAAGGGTGGATGGTCATCACGACGATCAAAACTGCAATCCCTTACATTCTTTTACCAACCACTCCAATGTGTAGCTCTCTCTCTCTCCCTCTCTCTCTCTCTCTCTCTGTGCTTTCTTTGCTCTCTCGCTGCCTCAACGAGGCATTTGCAGGGCTGCACACCGGGCACACGACACACAGCCTACGGTGATAGGATGGACATTCTCCATGCGCCCACACTAGCCCCACGCTTTGCCGCGCGCCCTCGCGTCAAAGCGTGCCCCTCCGAACCCTCCGAACCCTCGGACCCCTGCCTGGCGCGTGGGGACCGGTGAGGACGGAGTTATGCTCCGGAAGCCCCACATCCTCCAGGACGTCCACGAAGCGCACGTGGAAATCCGCCACGGAGATGTCATTCAGGTCCTGCCCGAAGCTCGGTGGCCGGATGTGGCCGGCGCGGTGCGGAGGTGCGCGGTAGATCACGTTGGGGTTCCCCCGAGCGCCTGGGCGAGGATCCCAACCTTTTTGGAGAGAAGGAGAGGAACAGAAAGAGTACGTTCAGACTGAAGGAGACATGTGATAGATTTTCACTCAGGAATTGCAAACCTCTTCTTTCAGGAGGGTCTTACATGAATCAAGAGCCTATTCCAGAAGTCCTAAGATGATATTTGCCCCATAGAGAAGTAGAGAAGTATATAGTTCTTCTTCGGGTCAGGGAGCCCAAGAAGTCTTTGGACTGCGCCAGGTTGCCACCACCGTACCACGGCGTCGGAACGCGCGGCGTCGCGAAGACGGTCCTGACCAAAAGGGTTTTCCAACTCCTTCGCCACCTGCGCAACCGTCCGGCGGGACTGAAGCGACGAGCCGAAGGCAGTACAGGACCGGACGGAGCAAGAGAAATAGAGAAGGAGAACGAGAAGGAGAACGAGTAGTAGCTTGTTACGAGCAGGAGAGAGAGAGAGAGAGAAGAGAGTGTGAGTGTGAGTATAGAAGCATACACTTTCATGAAGCTGATTACCTGGATGGGAGGCCGGCCACATGTCCACTCGGATGACCCGCAGCTCAATCGCATCCGTTTCGACCACACCGCAGGCTCTGGTGGACCGAAGCCGAGACCAGTCCGCTCCGCGGAAGCGGTGGTCAGAGGTCCGCATCACTGGACCCTAGGCGTCCAAGACCATGAAAAAATGGGAACGACCTGGTTTTTGTAGTGTAAAATCCTTAGTTGATTTGGGCTTCAGTCTATTAAATTAATGGTTGGCCAGGAAGCCTAGGGTGGAGACCAACCGTCGTACCATGTGCCATGGGCCATTAAAAATCAAACGTCGATAAGGAGTATGCAGGTGGCCCCCCCAGTCGCGACACCGATGCTCACTCAGTATCTTTCGCGACACGTTCACGGACCAATTCCCGGTGCTGCCGTGACATTGATGTTTTTCTTGGGTCTATCGCATGACCTGGGCCTATTCGTGGATGATGATGGGGCCTGGTTGCAGGCTGTTACTTACTCTGGCCGACATGATCATTGTTGACTGACTGTTACAGGTCAGTTCGAACAGACCCTAGATGTTCACGACATGAACCCAATCACAGTCCACCGGGGCCGGAGAGCCCGTGCGGAACGTTCGCTGGGCTCCGTGCGGCGAGGGCGCTCCGCCGGACGCGCCGCCGGGCGGACGCGCCTCGTTGAGACACCAGAGGCTCTCGAAGAGGAAGAAGCACAGGATCGGACCGATGACCGGGTTGGCTGTGAAGATAATCACCTCAGACGGTCTACATCACCTGTGATGTAGACTCTTTGATGTAGATAGACTCCCCCAACACACATGGATGAGGTGGGCTTATGCATCAAGGGTCTAACCGGTTTCTTCCCCAATGTGTGTCCGCGGGCACATTGGGGACCTCAGTGACGGAGGGATGTAACAGGTGGTGTGCTTAGTTTCTTGAAGTGGTCTGTGGGTGAACTGGTGGACTCTGAAATGGACCGAAGAGATTTGGAGCGAATCCTCATGAAGTGAGATTTGGGGAGATTTGGACCAAGGAGAGGTGAAAAACGTGGACTCTGGACTCCTTGTTCCTCCTCATGAATCCCCCCAACCAAACTTGTTGTTCATTCATGTTCCGGCCCGGCCGGGCCAACGTCTCGGCCCGGCCCTGACCCCTCAGTAGGAGGGGTCACCTTGGTCAACATGAAGCAGCTCTCATGGCACGCCGTCTCCAAGACCAAGAGGCGTAGAAGGGGATGAGGCAGGAGAAAGCAATGAGCAACAGCCCCAGAAGCTGCGCGTATGGCAGTGGAAACCTGGGATTTGCTGTGCAAAGGTTAAGGGGAAACCCATGGGAGAAAATACAAAATCACCCCCAGGCAAATCCAGGAAACGGTACATCTGCAATCTTCAGGCAGTTGTAGAAGCCCAGCATGCCATTGGACAACTCCTGGTACATCCTGGCAGAACCAAAAAGAAACAAAGTCCACAGACTCATCATTTCAAAACCTGGTCCTGAACGCGGTGTTTTTGCATGATCAACTCCAATAATGTCAGGTCCTTGACCTGTAGGATCCTGTAGGGCTAGGGAATTGTAGGGGAAAAAATTACTAAAAACTGTTCAGCCCAAATCACTGAGTGATCATGCATGATCAACCTTCCAAACGAATACAGTACCCCTGGAAGTCAAGGACTATGGTCTTTAGGTGACCCGAGTCAAGGAATTTCCTTTACTTCAGTCGGTCAACATATAGTCCTTGGACTTCTAGGGGTACGTCATGAACGGTCAACAAACAGCTCCCTCATTCAGTTGGATGGGCCCAGCGGTGGACCGACTTGAATCCTCTCAGGTGAGCCGACTTGTCATTCTCAATGTTCCGTTACTGTGTGGTCACCGCCCTGACACCTGTTTGCTGTCCGCTGTGCAACTGACAGACTGAGTTGTGCTAGGGGATATCTATATACACAAGGTGGTTAGCTCAGCCCCCTGCTAGTCCTTACAACAGTTTCCAAGGTTCTATGGCACAGAGGATTTTGCCATCTCTTAATCCTATACAAGGGCCCTCATCTGAAAAGGCGGAAGTGTCTTCATGAGTTCACGAGCGGCCGTTAAGCCCTCAAAGCCTTCGGAGTCGTTCTGACGCCGCCCCAACCGCCCCAACGGACGGTCACCGTGACCCTCCCCGCCGGCGCCGGCGTGCGGGGGGCGTCCCACGCCTGGATTGGATGGGGGGAGCCACGTCCAACTCCTTCGTGATGTCCACGAGGTCCCAAATGATCCAGTACATCACCGTGGAGACGGTGTCCTCGACACGGCCGAGGCGTCGCCCCGAACCGGTCGGGAGGCGTCCAAGGAGGAGGAGTTGATTGGGACTTGGTCGTTTGAGGTGTTCATGTTCTCTGAGGTCTCTGGTGCTCAAGCCTCTTTAGCACCTGGTCACGGCGTTCGCCTTGCTCACCCTCCACCGGACAAACACTGGAGATATTACAGCAGTATACCAGGACCCTCCAAGGGGTGTCCAATGCACTACCTATAGGCTTCCATTGGGCACCCCTTGGAGGGTCCTGGTAGATGGTGCTGTGACTAGAAAGCAGTTCATCCCCCCATCACATCCCATCACCTGCTGTTGTTGTCCTCGCGTCTGCACGCTCTTCCCCGCGCGGACTTGGGGTTCACAATTCTTCACCGCGCCCGCGCGAAGGCCCGACCGGTTGGGCGGGGCAAACCGCCAAGCGGCAAAGGTCCGCGAGAGGACTTCCAGCTGCTCCCGTGTGGGTCGATCGAAAACGACATAGACCTGCGAGCAGGTCGAGTGATGGTCAAGCCGCGAGCCGGTGCCAACGTGCTGGGTGGAACATGCACCGTGTTCCAAGGCTGCATGCAAGGGAGGAATCACACGATGTGTTGTTTGGTACTAAATGGTGGGGTTCGGCAAGAAATGGTGCAAATATGATGGAAGGTCTGACATTTGAACGCATCGTCTGAAGACCTCCTTTGGTTGCTGGTCCAAAGCCAACATGGCAAATGTATGTATGCTAATCATGGACACCTACCTGGAAACCCAAACAACCAGAAACAAATGGTTGTTCCCATTATGGCAATTGACATCCTTTACATAGGAAATGGCTGTTTGGGGAAACATCCATTTGTTTCTGGTTGTTTGGCTTCCCAGGTATATATATATATAATCTCCAACAACTCTTTCAGAAGCTCTGCGTGGTGCCCCACTTCAGCGGGGGAAACACCGCCACGCGCCGCCACAGTTCTTCGGGCGCGAGGGCGGGGGGGGGGCAACACCGCCACGCGCCGCCACGCCTTGTCATGGGTCTGGGAGCGCTGATACTCACTCCGCTCGACCATGTCTGGAAGCGAAAAGCCTCAGGGCTCGGACGGAGCTCGGACGGAGCTCGGACGGACCCGCCTTCCCGAGCTTCAGGTGCTTCCCTGGACACCGCTGATTGGGCACCTTCTATATGGGGGTGGTCATTGAACACATGATTTTGTATACAACCCGCGTTTTGGTGGATGCATCTGGTATGCATCTTGCAGCAACCAAAAGCACCCACCAGCTGGCTTGTTTGGTGCAGAACAGGCATTCAAAACATGTTCTGCGTCAGGATCTACTCGCGATTCACCATTCGAGGCCCACCTGTGTTCGTCCGCAATGCCCAAACGTTGACACCAGAATGTTCCGTGTAGCCACCGCCAAAAAGCACCACCAGGTTCGTTGAACCAAAAGCCTCACTTCACTACGCTCCTCAAAACGAGGCCCACCTTATTATGGACCCTAAAGACGCCAAAAGAAACACGTCGGGTTGTAGATGAAGATGATGTTCCACTGGGTCAATTCTCAGGTTCCATGTCAGTTTGGGGGGGGCACCCAGCAAACCACATCCTCACCACTCCAAACTTCAATGGAGCATAAGGGAGCTCGGACGTGAGAAGGGGCATCTCAACTCCGGTTCTTCCACCAGACCCTGCTTGGGCTGAAGCAAAACAACCCCCAAAGCCCATTCAAGCATCCTCCCCTCTCACCATCCGCCAGGTGTTCCCACCCCCCCCACCCGCGCTACCCGCGGAGGGCGCCCCTGGTCCACGCCCAGCGGCCCTTCCACTCCTTGTCCACCCGCATGGCCGCCCTCGAGCGGATCCGATGCGAATGTACCTCCTCCATCCTCTGGTTGTCGCCGTTGCTCAGGCGATCCGCCGAGAAGGCACCTCAGACAGAGAGGAGCGCTCGCGCGCCCGGGAGGTGACGCAGGGGAGGGGGGGGGGCGAGGGAGGGCCCTGGGGTGAAGAGGCCCTTGTTTGGGGACGCTTTTGGGGCCCGGTTTCGCCGGAGAAAGTCCAGAAGCTATCAGTTCGCCTTTAAAAGAACGCGAGCTTCAAGGGTGTCTGATAGCATTCGCGCATCCTTGCTAGGGGAGTGAGCCATTTGGACTCCTATATATGGGTATCCTGGGGCCAGACGTGTGCCATGTGGCACATGCAACCTCACCCACCGCCCGATGCGGCCGCGTCGGTCCGAAGGGCTCAATAACGCAAAGTTCCCCCGGAGCCGGCGCTGCTTCTCCTCGCGCGTAAGGCGCGCGGCGCGGCGGCGGCGCGGGCCGTCGCGGCGGACGGGTCGTGAAACCCGACGGACCAAGGAGACGATCGTGCGCAGGTCGTTCATATATCGGTCCCAGACTCCATGGCAGTGATCAAAAAGGATGAACAAGTGCCTACATGGACCCTTGAAACATCTTGATCCGAATTGACCTGTCCTATCTCCTTTTGGAACGAAGGAGGCGTCTAAAGCACCCATTTCGGAGGTCATTTGAAGAGTTCGCCCGATGGTGGGGCTTCCAACTTCGCCATTCGAGGTGTCCACTCTCAAAGTGTCACATGTGCGGTTACAGAAGAAGAATGGGATGCCTCCAGGCCTTTTTGAAAGCAGAATTGCCTGTACCAGCACCACCCCAAGGGTGGTTATTGGATGTTAAATACATCTTCACGGGGGTGTATAAACCACCCTTTGGGTGGTGCTGGTATAGAGCCTCTATAGTCCGCTATACATGGTATATATAGTGTCCCGCATGGTCCAGCTTCTCGACAGCTTTCAGCCTTCTCTCCTCGACCAGCTCCACCTTGTCTTCATCCCCAGCCTTCCGGGCGATCTTCTTCGTCACCTGCGTGGCTCAGGGCGACCAAGCCCGGGCAGCGCAGGCGATCTTCTGGGCCGTCTTTTGTCGACCACGACGGACACAACGACGTGGGATCGCAGCAAGAATGCGGCATCTCGGAAGACACCACAACCGCACTGCCCACACCAAGCATTCACCCGAGCCACCCAGAAGCCCACCCAGAACGGGGCAGCGGAGCGCGCCTCGGCGAAGGCATAGAACTGCTGAAAGGCGTCCGCATATTTGCTGTACATGAAGTGCAGCTGCGTCACCGCCTCCCAGTACCTCCAGCAGAGGTTGAAGAACCCTATAGACTATCCTATAGGTACCTCTGTAGGGTCCTATAAGGTCACTCAACCTCTGTAGGCTCATGGCGATTTGATGTCGGATGTCGGATGCGCTGCCCGTTCGCTCGTTCGCCCAAAACGAGCGCATCAGTGGCACAAATCGGTACACAGCCCGTGGGGCATCCTGAAGCCACTGCAGACGGAACAACCAGCCAGCTAAGGTGGATCGGTGGGGTGGATCATATTCCCCTGCAGACGGACCGCACGGACCGTGAGGCCATGGATTTCTGTGGATTTACTTGTGGATTTACTTGTGGGATCTTGTGGGTGTCTATTCTCATCTACCACTGCAGTGGGCCCTGCCGGACCTCAACCGCCAGCTCCCGATCGCAGCGGGCTTTCAGGGTTCCATGGGTCCAAATCACTTGAACATCCACCCAGTTAATGAGTCAACTCGACTCAGAAGGGCCGCTGGAAGGACACGGTGAAGTGTTCCATTTTTCAGGTCCACCCCATCCCAGGAGGAACCCACCTCACCAACTCCACCACCCCCCCCAAACAAAACACCGCCCTTCCGAACAAGAAGTGCCCTAACTGAAAACGCCCCCCATGCCGACCCATGTCGACCCCATCTCAACCCCCCCATGCCCACCGCGGAGACGCCTATTCCAGGCCAGCTGGGTGCGGAAGACCACGGCAAAGGTGACGCCCGCCGCCAAGGCTTGGAAGCCGTAGTGGTGGTGGATGTCCGGCGCATACCTCGGGTGGCTGGGTTTCCCCACGATGGGGACCGTCACACCGCGCGGTCCAAACGGTGGGGTGTTTTTTCGAGGCTGGGGGTGGGGGGCGCTGTTTGGGGGGGAAGGAGCTGGATGTGAAAAAGCTGCCACTTGCTGTAATGGCTGTAAGAGATGTCACACGCTGTATAACCAAGGAGCTGGGTACGGAGGAACAAAATTGGCGGATTGGGAACCAGCAAGAGCTGTAACAGGCTGGAACCACTCCCGCATGAATCCGAAAATGCTCGCGGGGGACGATGCGAGCTGCTCCGTCCGGAAGACAAATAGGGAGCCCGACCCCAGGCAACGACCCCCTTGGAAGAAGAGAAATAGACGCGTCTATCCAGTGGTTGGGGTCCCCCAATTCAAATAGATACACACCCAGATTTGAGAGGCTGTACATGACCTATACTTCTTCCAACTCCCCCTCCACTCTTGAAGAGACTCTTAGATTCTCCCCATCCCCATCCCCACCCCCCAACCATGCCCAAGTGGCTCCCAGCCATGATCCCGACTGTATTGCACCAATCCTCCCAGCGTGGCCACCAACAAGCCGCCCAGAATGGAGTCCAAGCGGTAGAAGACGCTCCCACGACGCTCCACGTAGAGGAGGCCCAGACAGCTCCTGAGACGGACCCCCGCCTCGTGGAGGCTCATGACGAGGAGGTTGGGTCAACACAAGAGAGGTTGAAAGACCTGATGGGACCCAAACTATATAGTTTAGGAATGGATAGGCCCATATATAGAGCTGTTCAACCTCTCTCTATAGGGTGTGGTTCGGTCTTCTTTTCCGCAGATTGTACGATGAGGGGGGTGGTGAGCCGGGGCTGTCAGCCCATACCTGAGCTGTCGGATGACCACCGTGAAGAAACAAACAGCTTGTGGGCTGTTCTTACCCACTGAAAACATGGGTGAGAGAAACAACTCCCGGTCGGGTAACTATATAGATCCTTCTGTGATACGGAGAGGGTCGTTTGCACCATCAAAAAGCTCGCCCCGAGCAAACCACCTCGCTCTGTGGCCTTTGCCACTCAGAGAGGCCCCACTTGTCTTCTCAGACACGTGAACCGCCCCTAAGAAGCAGTGCCAAGCCGGGCTGCTTCCTCGCTGTTCTTCAGCGGTCCTCAACCCAGTGAGAGTCTTCTACTTCCATCTGCGAATCCTGCAGCTCTCGTCAACCCTTGGGCCACTGGTACCCGGTATCCCCAGAACTGCCACCCTCCCAAGCACTTCATCTCAGGAGCTTGTTGTAATAGAGCAACATCGCTACGTCGGGCCCATGGCCGGCACGTGTGACGCCAAAAAATACCGGTAGAAGAAGAGTCCGGCTGCTGAGGGGGTGTGGGCTGAACTCGAGCGGATGCAAGTGTGGGCTTCTCGTTGCTCGGTGGGGGCGCCGGGGCTCGAGGTGTGAGAACGAGCGAGTTGCCTGATGGGGTTGGGCTTGAAAGGGATGAAGGACAGCCACCTATGCGTCTTGGGCCAATAGTTGTTGCGGAACAGGCCTTATAGACCCGTCAACAACTGGGTGTCTTTCGCATCTTGTGAACTACCTGGCAGCCCGCAGGCCGTTTCTTTCAAGGAGGAGCTCAGAGTAGATAAATCTCTCCAACATCCAACATGTGAAGGAAAACAAGGATAAGCAAAACAAGGGGTGATTCTTGTGAAGAGAAGTGTTGTTCGAAAAGTCACCTGATGTGTTCCTTAATGTTCTTATAGTATGGTTGCTTCTTGGATCTGGGGTCCCGTCCATCCCCCCTCCGGTGCCATCACACATCAGTACTAGATGCAAATGACTCAGAATGACTTAGGTTTCACCCTTTTCCGCTGATCTCCGACAATTCCTGGGTCACTGGTGGGCAGTATAACTGTATATTAACCGTTAGATGATGATGTGTTGCTATCAAGTTATCAAACAAAAGTTCCAGATTCTAAGGGTTGTTGTCATGTGAGCCCGATCAATTCCCAGACACGACCCATGGGACTGGCATTATATACCGATCAGGCCAGGGGTGGTGCCAGGGGGGTCAATGGATCGGCAGTCCTATGGCAGTCCCATGGAGTGTCCGGTGTCTGTCTGTCGCCAGACACCGGCGGTCCAAACACCGAGAAGCCTCGAACCCCTGCCGCCCAGTCGCCAGGCGCTCTTCGGAAGCGATTCCTGGCGCTGAGGGGTGAGTCGACCTGGTCGTTTTGGACGGTTCTACCAGCACCCGACTCGATCTAGGTCTCCGATGGCTGGAGGCTTTTGCTGACTTCCTAGTCGCAGGTGGTGACCTGTAGAGTCGCGTGCTGGTATAAACCACCCTTTGGGTGGTGCTGGTGATGGTATTTCAACCCCAGCAAGTGTGAAGAGGTTGAATCATCCATGTGTGGGCGCGGAACTGTAGGAATCAAGAGTACATTAGTGTGCCCAACTCGAACCCTGGCCACACTGAATTTCAAACGCGCCAGGACCTCGTCCCAGCTGGGACTCCCCAGCACTGTGGGGTCGATAGTCTCGGGGTGTCTGTGGACATCAATCGGCCTAGAACCAGAATGACCTTGATCTTGGACCACCAACCACCCGAAATATGGGCTTGTCCCATCAAAACAGGGGTCAAATGGGTTCCAGGTACAAGCTGTACATCCTGTAATAGTAGTGTGGAGGAAAGAAAAATCCAGCTTTTTCGGTCCTTTTCGCTCTGACTTGGGGTGCTCAGTGCTTTTGGTTGAGACAATTCCCGAGGATGGACGTCATTTGGAGGCATTTCCGATCTGAGAACTCGGTCTTCTTCCCCCTCCCTCCCTCCCTCCCTCCCTCTCTCTCTCTCTCTCTCTCTTCTCCTTCTTCTGGTGCGGCCCACCCGCGTGGCGCTTAAGCATGCCTGCACCCCCACCCTCCACCGCCCACCCGCGTCCTCCGGGACGCTGGTCGACTCCGGGCTCGGGGACATGGACCTGAACGGCGTGTCCGGAGAGAGTGAGATGGGTGGTGACGCTCTTGGGTCTCGCCCGCGAAGGGTGGTCGCGGTGTCGGAACTTGGTGCGGTTTGGTTTGGGCAAACTTGGTGGTCGCACGTGTCCCATGTTTGTGGGAGCGTCTCAAGTGGTCCATGGTAGGCTCAAGCGGCAGGAATGGCCCCTGATGTTCATGGTAGAAACAGTGAGGTCTTCAACGCGTGGCTTGGACGGAAAAGCCTTCGCCCTCACGTTGGCTCCGCTCAGTTCGAAAGCGCTCCGAAACAGTGTCAGCCTGGATGAGGACGGGGAGGACTGCGCCAGCCACGGCGAACCAAGGGCTCCCCTTGGCTGAGAAGGGCGGCTGGTTCTCTCCGTGGTCACTCAGCAAGTCCAACGACTTGCGACCACCAGAGTGAGTAGCCCCTGCCGACCTGTCATAAGAACAGGGGGCGAGCCTCACGTAAGTGGCGGTTAAAAGACAAGTCTGTGTGCCGTGGAAGTGGGAGCCCACTGGGCATACAAGGGTCAGGCAATGGAACTCTTCACAGGTGGTGAAGCCCACCTGAAAATCTCAGGACGGGGTAAGTGCTGTCCGCTCTCAACTTACTCTGGCTCCTTAAGTGTTCATGGGTCAAAGTCTGAGACCTACAGTATACCTTAGCCAGCTCAGACGAATCTTGCTCAGCCGCTCAGCTGACGATTTCGATCTAAAAGCCTTGGGCCATCTTGGACCCATTGATTATAAACTCGTTCAGCGGTGAAGCGAAAGCCACTCGATGAACAATAGCCACTCAATATCCGCCTCATGGCAAGAACTGGCCAAGCCTAGTGCAACATGTCGCAACTGAGTGGTCTTCTGCATCCATCTTTGGCAGAGTTGAGGCATCCCAACATGTTTTGACACCTGCCTGCCTCAGGAACCAAATCTCCAACCTCGCTCATCCAAATCCAGTCAACAAGTCAAGTCAAGACACACCTTTCATCAACCTACCAAAAATGACCACAACGACCAAAAAACAACGCCTGCTAACATCTGCTAACTCCCATGAGGTGTGCCACAGGTGTGCCACCGTCCCTTCACTCCACTCCACCCCCTCCACACCACCTCCACGCCACCTCCACGCTCTCTCCGCTCCCCCTATTCGCTCCATGCGGCTCCAGGCGGCGGATCCGAGGCGCCTGACGGCACGCAGGTCCGGCTTCAGCCCGGGGCGCTTCGGGTGTCATCTGATTTGGATGAAGTATAGGTCACCAGGTCCGGTCCGGTCCGATCTGGGAAGGGAGTTCCAGTTCGAAGCATGAGGCCCGATCTGGTGACCCCCTCCTCTCGACCCGTCACCCTTCGGCCCCGTCACCAACCCACAAACGCCTCGCGGCCCCGCGAGAGCGCCGGAGCTGGCGGCGTCTCCTCCAGAAAGAACCTCGGGCGCCGGAGCGGAACGTGCCAGAACGTCCGAGGCGGGGTCGTCGGTCCCCCAGATTCGCCCGGAGAACGCCCTGCTGGCGTCAGAACGGCGGTTTCGGGGCACCAGCCGTCAGGTTTGGAGCCTGTTTCGGACCAGGAAGGAGGCCCTTTCTAGGAAGTGGGGCGTGGGTATAGGAAGATTGGCAGACCATTTACCCTTCTTTTTCATTTTTTCGATCGTCGTATTCCACATGGAGCGTCTGGGGAAAAGAAACAGTTCACCCGAGGATATGTGGGATGAGATGCTCAGACTGACTCAGACTGATGCTCAGACTGGTGCTCAGACTGATGCTCAGAGATGCTCTTCTCTGGAGGCCAACAGCTGGCCCTGCGGCCCTGCCCTTGTGTTTTAATTTGTTGACAGTTTTGATGACCCTTCATGAACCCACCCCTGATGAGACTGTTCTCACGAAAGAGATCCTTCCTGGGTTGGCAGGTTGCAGCTCCCAGCATGTTCGAAGCAGAGTTGAAGATCGCCCCGATTCTCCACACCCCGACTGCTGTATAGACCCTCTGCTGTGGGGGCGCCCTTTCCACCAGCTAAAGGGCCTTAGGCTCGGGCCAAAGGCGGCCAAGTCCTTCCGTCTCTTTCAGCTTCGGCATTCAGCTTTCGGAACAACCAGAAGGATTCACTAGACCTTCTTGTGCTTCCGGGTTTTTCCATCGGTTACATCGATCCCTAATTCATCCCTCCTTCGCCCTCCACTCCCGATCCGCCGCTTCGCTCCCGGGGGTCGCGGCCAATCCCACGGGTCGCTCCAGGCGTGCGCCGAAAGCGCGGACTCGTCCGGTGCCTCGGGAGGGAGTCGACGACGGCCCGGCGGGGGGTGGGCGGATCCCATGGAGGTTCCGAAGAAAACGTTGGCGCAGGAGCCTGTCGCTCGAGCTACAAGCAAGAGATCAAAAGATCGCGACATGTTTGGGAGGGTTGAGGTGATCCTGGTTGAGGGAAATCAAGACTGGCTTCAAAGTCTCGAGAGCACCCTGCATTCATCCACGTCGACCAATTGGTAAAAACCGGTCTAAAAACGGTGACCAGAGTCTAAGGAGTTTCCGATACAGTGGGTGCCCAGTGCCCAAGCATAGTGGCCCAGGTGTCCAATACATGTTTCGATGTGGGGATCCACTTTTCTATCACCCAGACACTCCACGTATGCCATAATATATGCCTACATTGGGGGTGGTCATGTTCTATCTATTTTTGGGAGGGGGGGGAGTCTGTCTGGAGGCCGCCGCCAGCACCGACCAGCAGCGATCTCTGAGAGGTCGCGCCCCGTGGTCCTCGGAGTCGGAGAAAGGCACCAGCTCGGCGTAGAAGCGGGGCCGCGTGCCGGACCTGCGTCCATCCGCGGGTCGGGGGCGTTGTGGCAGGATGGGCCATTCGTTCAAGCTGGAGTGGTCCAGTGGCTACGACCTCCCAGGTAGGTGAACCAATCTGTATTCTCCAGGTGCCACCCATGACTCATGACCCACAGCCACCCACGACGACCCGACAGCAAGAAGCTGACCACCCGTCCTAGGAGGAAGTCTGACCTCCGACCGGCTCCTCGGCTCCCCGGCTTGCTGCCGGACACGGGGGATCTCCTGGCTGCAGGGGAGAGGCGTCTTCGGTGTCTTCATGTTCTGCGGGACAGTGGCTTCTCATGCCAGCTGATCATAGCTGATCATGTTTCAAGCCCAAACTCCAGGGGCACTCTTCAAGCCTCGAAGCTCGGCCTGAAAGATCCATCATATATGCGCGACATGTTCTCTGTGCGCCCAAATTGGTGGCACAAAAAAACAAATGCTTTTTCGCGCCTGAAGGGTTCTGGTCTCGTTCTGGAGGTTGCAGGGTCGCGCTGCGCCTCGCACACGTGACCGCGCTGCACGATCCGGGCCGTCATCCCGAAAGCAAGGAGAGACAAGCATCTTCTGCGACATCAATCATGAAGGGGCACAGCTTTTCAACTCTTTCGCATTAGTTGCCATGGGGTTAGTCACTGTGCAGCTTCGATGACCATTTTGACTTTCGGACATGGCCATTGAACGCCATTGATTCACCAAAACTAACATCAGAAATTACCTGAGTCCAAAATCCAATGCGGGGCATGGGAAGCTGGGGAAAACGCAGGGACCTGTTACAAAACCTTCAGGCATGCAATTCTAGCATCAGCGGGAGGCTTCAGAGTGCTGGCCCACTGGTCAAGGGCGACCTAAATGCGAATCACAAATAATATCAAATCATAATTCTAAGTGGAAATCACTGAGATCTTGCTGAGATGTTTTTCTTGCGTCACCTACTGGAGTTGCATCCGTTTGCTCCTGCACCATGGTCTCCTCCCCTATGTGCTCCTAGATTGCTGTCGAAGCCGAATGAAAAAACCTATATTCCCCAGGTTCGGGTATTCAGGTTCGGGAACATGCAACCAAAAATATGCCAGGTGCGCCAGGTGCTTCATCACCCTTACATCATCATCTGGCATCCCTGAACGCCATCCATATCCACTCCTCTGTGCTCTTCCTTTTTGTCTACCCCACCTGTGATCTTTGGTTGGGTGCCTGGCATGGCCTTCCTTCAGAAATCCTCCTTTAGGAAAACATAGGGAAACCACATGCGCGCGCTTTATCCGTCGGTGGCCCACCTCCTGAGCGAAATCAAGCAGCTGGGAGGATAGAGTTCTTTACAACCACAACCATGCGTAATGAAGACTCTTGATCAAGAATAATGAAACATAATAAACCCCCAAATTAAAGGTGTTTCAATCCAAATGGGGTGGGTTTATAATCAAGAGCCTACATTAATTCCAGGTGGTGTGCTCCAGAGAAGGGTTGGTCTTGGCTTTGTCGCTGGTTCACGACCCATCTGCACACACACACTTATGGAAATGCATACTGACTTGACAGCGGTGCCACACGCCGGCCTAGGGTTCCAATGCCTAAGAGTACATGTACGAAGCCCTGGATCCTGGGGGTCTTCAAGAGGAAGTGAGGCCAAAAGCGTAAGGTCGAAAACGACGAACAGGGCGAGATGACGACGTTGCGTGCGTGACTGCAGGCAAATGTTAAAATTCAGCAGGTACGTGCAGCTGATCACGCTGCATATCCTGAGGTCACCATAGAGAGCTTCGTTGGGCACAGCTCTATGGGCCTCCTATACCCCCCTGCTCAAAACTACAATTCCAAAGAATCCCTGTAACTACAAGGGGCACACACACACACACGCCTCCCCAAAGGGAGGCAAGTTTTCTAAGCGCCACACCGGGAAGGTTGGATGAAACTAATGACAAATGATAAATGGCATCAACAGGTAAACGTCAAGAGTTCCAATCAACAAGGTGTACTTTGTCTCCAAGTATGTCAAGAATTCCAATCAACGAGGTGTACTTCTGTTAGCGGGTGTATTTCGTCTCCAAGCATGTCAAGAATTCCAATCAACGAGGCAACGAGGTGTACTTCGTCTCCAAGTAGAGGTAAGGCCAGGCACCTCTAGTAGCATCAAAGAAACACCTAGCACCTAGTAGGAAGGCCAGGAGCCCCTAGTAGCATCCCAAGCTAAGGTCCCGACAGGAGGGAGGGGTAGGGAGAGACGAGAAAAAGGAAGGAGAAGAAAGGAAGGTGTTCCCAGCTACGACGCATGCGTCCAAGGACACACCAAAGAAAGAGAGGAGAAGGGTTCCCAGCTATGACAAAAGCATCCAGGGACACCCAAGGAGGAAGGAAGGTGAAGAGAGGAAAGAAAGAAAGCAGAGAGAGGAAGAGAAAGGGAGAGGAGAGAAAAGTAAAAAGCAGGTGTTCCCAGCAACGAACAAACGTCCAGGGACACACCAAAGAAAGAAAGGGGTGATCCTGAGTCTTCCAGGAAAACCCCAAAAAGCCAGGAAAGAAAGGGGAGGGAAGGGGAAGGAGGGGGGACTAAGCTCGCGACAGGTTCCAATGAACCTTGAACAAATTTCGGTCGCTGTGACCACGCACGGCTTGCCCGAAGGCTGCCACCTTTGACCGCTGCGGTCACGTAAAGGCATGAGCCAGCTTAGAATTCCAAAAATGAGACAAACATCCCACTTCTTGTGGCATAAGCCATCTGCTGTCCGCTACGGACACTTACATCTCCGGGCAGGGGAGATAACGACAAACCCCCGTTCGACGGGTCTACGGGAGGCACTCTACGGGCTCATCCCGGGTTGGCACGAGGCCAAACACACTTATGGAAATGCGTACTGACTTGACAGCGGTGCCACACGCCGGCCTAGGGTTCCAATGCCTAAGAGTACATGTACGAAGCCCTGGATCCTGGGGGTCTTCAAGAGGAAGTGAGGTCAAAAGCGTAAGGTCGAAAACGACGAACAGGGCGGGATGACGACGTTGCGTGCGTGACTGCAGAAGCTAACTCTGCAAATGTTAAAATTCAGCAGGCTGATCAGGCTGCATATCCTGAGGTCACCATAGAGAGCTTCGTTGGGCACAGCTCTATGGGCCTCCTGTGCCCCCCTGCTCAAAACTACAATTCCAAAGAATCCCTGTGACTACAAGGGGCACACACACACACATCGTTCACGAATGCTCACGACGCAACACCGGTTTGCCAACGGCTTGGGTGGGACGCCGCGGCGTGCTCCCCCCCGTCGCCTCTTCCAAACGAGGAGAGTGGATAGAGGCCTCGGATGGACGAAAAACGATGCCATGGCCATGGGCGTCAGTCAGGCTTGAAGGTCGGCATCTGGCGAAGACACAGCTGCCAAACCGTTTGGATGACCATCTGGCGCCCCAAAACCGGAGAGCCGCGTCCTCTACTTCTGTGTTAGTTCTTGTGGTCAGGCAGTGCAGGGCGATGAAACCGGAGCATCGCAGGGCCATGAAACCGGAGCATCGCCTTCGGTCTGGAAGTTCCATCTGCTCCATGACAGATGGGGAGCAGTCTTTACAGTGGTCCAGAGTAGATGGCACAAAAACTGTACCTGGTTTTGTAGCATAAATCCATTTCAACCAATTGTTCCTTCGGATGGAAAAGGCCCTTCAATCCATGGTTGGCCACAAACTCCTAGGGAACCGCCAAGGCACGAAAGATTTGGAGATGATCATCTCCTCCATCCAATCTTCTCTCTCCTCGGCGCGAAAGAGAGAAAAATGACAGCGCGGAAGTGTCCAGAAGCTTGTCCCCCAGCTTCTGAGACCTTCATCCTCCGAACCATGAATGATGGCCAATTTCGGGGGTTGTGGACCATTTGTCTCCTTCATCGGCCGCTGCAACAACAAGCATCATCTTCAAATGTCTCCCAACATCTGCGTCAACGCTGGACGGCCCAACCTCTGAGGAGCGCCGATTCTGCTTCTTCGTGCCGGGGAAGAGTGTGTCCTCCTGCACAGCGGTGGCAAGAAAATCTTGGAATGGTTTGAGCTGAAGCCGGGAAGCATAGTAATTAAAACTAAAACTGCCGCACTTTGCCAGAGGGCTCACCTCACCCAAAGGGAAAATAGAAATTACCCTGAACAAAACCATTTGACATACTTCCCCCACCCTGAGGTTTCAGCGGGTGCTTGCGTCTGAGTATGTGATGCTTGGTCAACGATGATCAACGCCTCTAGCCTCTACTCTTTTCAAGGTTTCGCGGATGGAGTGCATGATTGCCCTTCATCTTTTCTATGTGTGCAACTCCCTGCATCCTCTCTGCATCTGCATCCCTTCTCTCCTGCAAGTCCTTCCATCGGGCCAGGTCCAACAAGCCTGGCACGGATCTGAGCCCTCAAATGCTGACCAGCGCAGGGTCGGTTTGCAACCCACCTGCCATCAGCGGTCCACCTTCTCAAGAGCTCCGACCTGATCCAACCTATCGGCCCTGAAACCTTCAAGCGTCAGATAGAGACAACGCATATCCTATGGCACCACCCACTGTGAAAGTAGGTCGCTTGGGGATATGTTTCTCCAGGCTCAGCCCTCCACCAAGACGCACCCAAGGACGCATTCGTACGCACACTTCGATGCCCATGCATCCGAATGCCCAACCGCCCCACACAAGTGCATGCTAGCCCCCACGCCATTCACAATTCGCCACAAGCGTGGGGGCGCGAGAACGCTTTCTTGCGGACCGCCCCCACTTAGCAAGCAAAAGAAGCTCGTCGCGCGAACAGTGAGTAAAAGCATCTGATTGACATTCCGGGGTTTCCTGCGCGTCACCAGGCTTCCTTTTCGCTTCCTCGTCCGGAGTGCAGAGACCACAGCAACGAACCTCCGGGCTCGCCATGCTGCAACGCTTGGCCAAAATGGCTCAAGGCGCACCTCCCCGAGTCCTCGACGACATGAAGAGGCCGCAAGTTCCCGGACGACGACGAAGAGATCGTGCCAGGAGCCACGTTTTGGGGATCCCCAAGGCTCCATAAGACCCGGGTGGCATAAGATGCATTGGTGCATTCTCCCTCATACTCCATACATGGGGCAGTCTGGCTATGTGCGAAACCCTGCATCTCACTTCCCCAACACTTTGCTTGGGCACTGAAGGCTCCAGTGCGGCCATACGCCAAAACCACATGGACAAAAAACACGGAGCCTCCGCGGGTTGAACCGAAGATTTCTCCGGAGGCTCGTGTGGTCTCCGGACCAGTGCCGGTGGACACCTCCTCTCTTCCAGACAGTTTGGACCAACCATACCCTGTGCGGCGCCGAACCCGAACGCGGCCCTCTTTTGCAGAAAGCCCCCACACTTGTGCGAAATCCATCCCCGTGTCATTGGCAGTGAGTGCTAAAGACCGGGCGTGTGAGGCACCCGCTGCATCAACCCGGAGTTGGTCATCCAATGTCGCATCACTCCATATATATGGGTCTTTTTCAGGAACAAGTCTTTCTACCAACAGCCTGTTTGGATGGTAGGGTGCCCTTGAGACATCTGGATGGGGGTGATGAAGGTGCCCGTCGGGGTGTGGGGGACGGCGCAAAACCGACCACGAGCGTCCTCGGTCGAGATATCAGTTTGGGCTCTACAAGCTGGCCCTTCAAACGGCCACCGTTGCGGTGGTCCGAAAAAGGCACCGCGTGGCCTCGAAACAACACGCGGCCTCGAACATCCTCGGACTCCAAACCCCGGAGATGGACAAAACTGGGCGTTCCCGATGGAAAAGATCCTAGGTTATATAGGTGACCTGAACTAGGACCCTAGTGGGGTACCGAACTGGGATAGTCGAACTAGGGTTCTCAGCCTCGGTAGGTGATCCAAACCGATCCCCCCAACAAGTTTTTGGACCAGGGAGGCCACCCAAAACGGGGGGGGCGCTCTCTATTCCCAGACACTCCATGGGACTGCCATATATGCCCACATTGGGGTGGTGCCATGGGGGGTCAATGGGGCGGCAGTCCGGCACTCCTAGACGGGTCGTGTCTGGTCTCCACCTTGGGGACCCCAGCTCAGCACAGGTCCGACCCTCTGACCGCTTCGTGCCCCAGCCGGTCCCCCCACGTGTGGAGGTGACGGCAGACCTGTCGGTTTGAAGAAGTGCTGTCCAGGTGTTTACATGGTGCTTCACAGCATCTGAATGTGTGAAAAAAAAAGCCATCCCTGTATAGCTGTATATCCCTGGGTCGGATGATGATGGTTCGGTTGCGGGCCGACATCTCTAAAGTAGTGACTGTGATGTTCTTCATCAAAGTGCACTTCCAGGTGGTTGATGGATAGGTTGAAGCCATCGGGCGCTCAAGAATCTTGCTTACCCCTCTGCGAGCGCGGCCAGTTCGGACACCGCTCTGCGCCATCCATCGACCGAACCAGACCTCCGTGTCCGCGTCGCCAGCAGTCACAGAGCGAGCGATAGGGGTGCGATCCCATGGAGGGCAGGGGGGGGCCCTGTCACATCCACTGGATGGGACGAGCCACACCACCCCGAGGGACATGTGACTGCTGGTGTGTGTGTGTGTGTGTTAACTCTCGGCCCACTGAGGGTCTCCGAGTCGAGCCGGCTGGGGTGTGGCCACTTCGCGCCGCGCGACGGAGATCCAGCAACACGTTCGTGCGACGTCGCGGCAGCTCTGGGGGTGCTTTTCTTCACGAAAAATGCCGTTTCCAGGGAGTTGCAGTTGGGTTATGGCACCCCAGCGCCAGGTGCCCAGAACATCCACCAGGCATATATTGAGAATCCAGGACACACGATTCAGAGGCTTACATGGTTGACCCTGGTGTTGTAGTCCCAAAATCCTTCATCCATGGACGGCCCCGCCACGGACGGCTCCAGCGCTCCCACGCACGGCTCCGGCGTGCTCGCCTAGGTCCCCGCTGGGCTCCTGGACCAGACTCACTGGCGAGTTTGTCCAAGCGAAAACCCAGACTCCAAGCAGTTCAAAGTACTGCTTCAATTGGAGAGTCCCACCAAAAAAAACCTTCAAATCTCGATCATGGCATTGGTACGAGTCCGAAGTGGATGGTTTTCGGTGCTGGGTTCTTTCGACTGGGTAAATGATGATGTGCAAGGAATTCGGGACCGGAAGTCGGCCGGCTGAGCTCTCGGATACCCATGGTGGCTCCGGAGACCGCGGAGACCTGACGGACCTGACAGAAGAGTTTCTGGAAAACGATCAGCACCGACGGCCAACAGGTCACCCATTGAAACCTGTGAGGGCCCTTCCGCAGCCCTCCAGCCATCGGAGACCTAGGTTGGGAACTGGAATGAGCCTCCCTGAAACAATCATGGAATGTGGAAGACAGCCTGTTCATGGAGGAATTTCGACTTCGCTCCACTTCCATGTTTGTTGGATGGAGGTTAATTCGGATTGAGAGGACCTATGGCACAGACCCCAAGAGGTGGTTTATATGAACCCCCATGTACAGGACATCTTGAGGTCTGTGCCATCTACTCTGAAACCACTCTCATTCGTTCTAGAGGTCCCAAAAGTGGGAGAATGAGAACTCCCTGGGAGTCAGTTGACCAGGTTAGAAAAATGGTCTGACTAGGTGATCCGGAGAAGGAGTGTCCTCATGTTTCCTTTACTTCACGAAGTATGGTCTTTCGACTTCTAGGGTGTACAATGCATCGTTCAAAAGGGTCATACCTGCTCATATTTGTCCATGTGCTTGGCGGAGGAGACACAACCCCATGCACAATGATTTACATAGCACATAGCAGCTTGGTGAACAGCTGTTGCCTTTGCAAAGCCTGGGTGACCTTGCGATCTTCTGTGCCCTTGAGGCACTTTAAAAGAAGAAGCGATCACGTTGCAAAGACCACTGCAGGAGGCCATGCCATATGTGAGGACGTGCCATAGTGTGGGGTGCACTTCATCCTGGGAGTCAATGGTCGTTTGTCAAAAAGAACGGGTTCACGCATCCGACCTGGCAAAGAGAGGTTCAGTGACCTGAACTCCGACACTACTTGGGTACCGAACTGGAATAGTCTAGAGTCACTTCCAAAAACTCGTGCGACTCGTAGGGAATGAGGGTATGAACCACCCCTGTAGGCCCCTCTGGATCCATTCCCATATTCCCTACGAGTCGCACCAGTCACTTCTAGGGTTCTTCAACCTCTGCTGGGTGCTCAAGGGCCTGTCGCCTTTCTGCACCACAGCGGTTCACAGCTTCGCATGCGGCACCCGCGGCTGGACCCCGCATTCGTACCGCCCGCCTCCTGATGCACCTGCAACGGCGCCACCAAGGCACCTCACAGGAAGTCTCTGATGGTGGAGGTCCCCGGAGTCCATTGACGCGTGGAGTCGTGGGGGCGTGGAGTTCGGACTTCAGCCCGACTTTCTGGCCATCCTGGCCATCCTGGCTTCAAATCATTTTGTGCTAGTCCTTCTAACATGCGTGGAAGGCAGGGGATACCGGAGTCCGAGACCAGTTTCAAATTGGTTGACCTGGAACTTGTAGTGTACAAACCCTGGTTGTTTAGTAAAGACTGTTAAATCAATGGGGCTTGAAGATCGGATGGTTATATACATCAGGACACCATCCTTGACAGCTGGATTTGGATCGACCATGAAGGCACTGCGTCGAGCTATGTAAATGTCTGCCCTTGGCAGGACTAGCACATGCCCAGTTGGTTGTCATTAGTTGTGATAGATAGTTAAATATAGTATTATATAGATAGTTATAGTATCTAGGTATCTAGGTGGCTGCTCGTACTGGCTTGAGTCGGCTTGGAGTGCTTAAAAGCGCAACTATGGAGAGACTCAGAGACTGCCGGCGGGTTCCATTCAGAAAAGGGTTCGCGCCCCGGAACCGGGCTCCGCCGCACGAATGCTCTGGCAGGTTGGGTGGTGTGTGTGTGTGTGGTGTGTGTCACACCCTGGTTCTAAGGGTTTTCCACGTTCTCACCTTTCCAGTAACCAAGGCAGGGGGGCAATGCACGACTGACAGACATTGCCCAACGAAGACGCTGTCAGTTCGTGGTGAAGCAATGCGGGACGCCGCATGGTGTACCTGCTGAGGTTTTCGCAACTTTTGATCAAGCTGTCTAATTCGACTTTTTTGCTTCCATGGTTGTTCATGATACCTCCCCTAAACTATTTCCCACCGCTTTGCAGCTGCTGAACGCCACTTTCACTTGCGCGTTTTCGGAAACATTGTTCAACAATACTGTTTTGCTGACTCCTGCACCTTTCCGTTCCATCGCCATCCTTCCCATCGTGGCAATTGAGTCTAACTGAAAATCAAGTTCGAAGTGTGGACCGCTCAGTCTTCCCACTTGGGTACTGGGTGTGACCCTCCGAAAGGAGGCGCCGAAATCATACTGGAAATCACCAACCTTCATTTTTATAACTGCCTT